GTGCCTGCGGCTGGGCTAGGGGGGTTCGGAGTGGGGTCCCACAGACCCAGCCGCATTGGGGGGGACACGGCTGCAGGTTGGGGTTCAACCTCAGAGCAGCGGAGGGGTTCAGTTTTGGCAAACCGCTCCAAGTGGAGAAGCCCAGCGGCCTCGCTGCCTTCGGCTGAGCTTTCCCAGCAGCTTCCCCACACCCCAGCTTTCCTTGCTCTCGTTCCTGAGCATTTTCCAGCTCAGGCTTCTGCCTTCTCGTTCCCACGCTGCCACGCTGGGCCGGGCTCATCAACACACGCTGATTAAGATACAGCTGATTAAGATGCATGACTCTCACATGGTGGGGAGGGGAGTATCTGTCTTTGTTTTCCAGGAAAGCTGATGTTGCCCTGAGGAAGGGGGGAGCCTGTTAGGAAGGCTGGAGGGGGCTCTGCAGGGCAGCAGGAGGGTCTACGGCATAGCCATATGCGGCCGACATTTAGCTCCCACAGAGCCTCTTTGCCTGCGGACCCACGGACGAGGGGCTCCTGGCTCTTGCGAAACATCAGGGTGCAGCTTGCCCCTTGCCCTGGCTTGCTCTGAGCCCCACATCGTGCCCTGCGCCCTGGGCTGCTCCCGTCTGGCGAGTGGGGCGACGGGTCGGGCTGCTCGCCTGTGTGGGCAGTGCTGCCCGCTGGGGCCAGCCTGGCACCAGGTAATACAGCCTCCACCGGTTCTGCGGCTGCTGAGCAGGCAGGGAAAGCCCTGCGCCTGTGGCATGGAGACACGGGCTGCCCCGGCCAAACCTGCTTGGGGTGCACAGCCCAGGCGTCCTCCCGCCTCCCCACTGGGGAGAGACCTGCGATTAGGCTGGAGGCTGTTTGGGAAGGAGCTGGGGCTGGATGTTTGCTGCTGGCTTGTGGTGGGCGCAGGGGTAGCTGTTGTAGGTGAGTGCCACCATCGCCTTGTCTCTGAACTTGCTATGTGGGAGCAAAGGGCTCTGATGCTGTTGCCAGCCCGTGGTTTTGCCAGTGGTGCCCAGGGAGGCTGGTGAAACTTGTAGGAAGCTGGGGAGATCTCCCAGCATGGCTCCCAGCCCGACCAGGACACAGGAGTGATCTCCTCCTGTCTGGGTGATGTTCCCTGCATGTGGATTTTCATTATCCCGTGGGACAGCACTGCTTCCGTGGCTCATTTGTACTGAACCAGCCCTGGGGTGTATCAGGCAGGGGATGAGCCTGGCTCATCTGCTCCCTGAGCATGAGCAGACATGGTAACATTAAGCTATGTTTAAAATGCAATGTGTGAGTGTGATTCCTGCTCCTGCATGGGACTGGGTGGCTGGAGCCCGCAGGTAAGGGCTCACAACGGCCAGGCTGGGCTGCTCCTTGCTGAGCCTGGAAGCTCTGCTGGCCCCACAGCCCCCAGGGCACAGCATGTCCCCCTACTCCAGCATCCACGGCTGCCCTGCCCCAATCCCCGCTTGCTGTCTCACCTTCGCTCTCACACATCTTGCTTGGTGCAGTTGGTGCTGGTGTGAGGGATGCTTCTTGCCTTGCTCACATGGAAAGCTTTTGGAGGCTGAGCCAAGGAAGGTTCGGAAATCGCAGCCTGGTAACTCTCTTTGGGTGAGAAGTACATGAAAGGGGGTCATGGCAGTTGCTGTTGAACTGTGAGTTTCTGCAACGTCCTCGGGCTTGGAGAGCTGGGAGTGCGAGAAATGCAGAGGGAAATACTTATTTGGCATTTGAAGGGGGGCTGAAGGTAATTTTCTGGCCGTGTTTGTGAGTAGATGTGTGCATGAGGGGATTTGGAAGTCCAGCGCTGGGTAAACCTCTTGCAAACCCAGGATAAGGCTTGCCTGGGCTCTAACTCCTCCTGTCTCTTGGTGCCACAGGTTGATGGATTTGCCTGGGAGAACTGCGGTGACGGGAAGGACCCTGTGGTGCTGAAGAGCCTCTCTGTGGCACCCGACCCCATCACTGTCCCAGGGAGCCTGCGTATCAGCGTGGCCGCCAGCAGCGGCAAGACCTTGGCCTCCCCTCTGACGGTATGGGGGTGCTGGGGATACTTCCACAGCAGAGCGTCCCAGAACCACTGGCATCCAGGAAATGCCCAGCAATGGATATGGGAAGGAGCAGCCCTTGGGGGAATGAGGCACGGAGCGGTGCAGGGCTGAGTGAACTGGGCTCTGTAAGCCAGGATGGGGCGAGGGGCATGGGGAGACCCACAGTGGGAGCATACAGCCCAGTGGGAAGCTCCTAATGTTGTCCCAGTGGGAGAAACTACCTGAGCTGTGTTGCGTGCAGAGGATGTAATGACTCAGGGAGGGAAATGAAACCCCATGTGCCCTGACTGTTCCCAGCAGTCAGTTCCCCTACAGCACTCGTTTTTCAGTGACCAGACCCGGCTGCTCGCTCCAGGGACGTGCCACAGTACCGCTGCAGGAGCCCTGAGCTGGCCCAGCTACCCTGCACCACTTTTGGGGTTTGTTGAGGCTGAGTTCTGAACACGTCTCAGTGCTCAAAGTGCATGGGCTGTCTTGAGCAATGCCACAGTGCCTGTTTGGGGTTGGGGAGAGCATGCTGGGGGAGTGTAGTGGCAGAGCTGTGGAATGGGAGCTGCTGGTTGGCTTTGGGATGTAGCACTGAGACGGAAGGAGCAGGTGCTGGGAGGTGTTCGCTCAAGGGGTCAAGACAAAGTTGGAGGAAGAGAAACCTGCAGGCAGAGAGGAACTGAAAGCAGGAGGGGGAGCTGAGAGTGTGTGGTGGCCCCATGGATACCCCAAAGAATTGCCGATGGAGATGGCTGGGCAGGGAGAGGTGGGACAGACTCGAGGAGCTGTGGGTGCGTGTACCAGTGCTGAACACCTTCCCTTCAGGCGGTGCTGGTGGTGGAGAAGGCGCTGGGCGAACTCTGGATCCAGCTGCCCTGCATTGACCAGCTGGGCAGCTGCACCTACGATGATGTCTGCACCATGCTTGACAACCTCATCCCGCCCGGCACGACCTGCCCGGAGCCGCTGCTCACCTATGGCATCCCCTGCCACTGCCCCTTCAAAGCGGTACGCCTGAAACCCCCGCTGGTGTCATGCCAACAGCACCGCCGGGTACCACTGTGCCCTTTGGTGCAGTGCTGGGGTGGCCTCGGCTGACACCTTACCTATGTGTGCCCTCTCTCTGCAGGGCTCCTACTCCCTGCCAGCCAGTGACTTCCTCCTGCCCGATGTGGAGCTGCCAACCTGGATGACCAACGGCAACTACCGTGTCCGGGCGGTCCTCAGCAGCGGTGGGGCAGAGCTCGCCTGCGTCAAGCTGGCCTTCTCCCTGCAGTCCCAGTGAGGGTTGGGGCCACCCTCCTCTCCCCACTGTCTTGGTCCCTTCTCCCATCCCATCCAGTTGCACCCCATCTCATCTCACCCTGTCCCTGGGAGGTGCATTCCTCCCACTGCCAGGAGGAGGCAGCCCCCCTACCCCTGCTCTGTGTCCCTCTCCCCTGCTACACACAGAAAGGTCCCCCCCTGCTGTCCCGAACCCCATCACCAGGGTGTCCCCTGCCCTGCAGAGGGGGGCTGCCCAGCCTTTTAGTGTGACCTGGGGGTAGTTGTTTTTTACCTAGTTTATTTTTATTTTCTTAATCCCATCCAGGGAATTTTAGACAAAACATTCCAGGGAAAAGTAGTATTTTTTTGGAGCAGTCCATGGGGTGGAGGGAGCTTGTGGGAGTGCTGGAACAGGCTGGAGAGATGCAGGAGTAGTTCTGGAGGGTGTCCCTGCTTGCTCCCACTATCTCTGGCTGGAGCATGGAGGCTGTTTTGTAGAAGTGGCCTCAAAGTGGCTGCAGGAGCCCTGGTCTCTCCCATGGCAGCTCTGGGCCTTTGGCACATCTCCATCCTGTGCATGGGACCAGCTTTGCAACACAAGGCACTGGTGAGGGCACCTCCCCATGATGGATGTTTCCACCATCAAGTGGCTGGTGCTGCTCCCAGCAGTAGGAGGGGTTGCTGGGGGCTCTGGGAGGACACACGGCTGTGGCAGGCAGCTGGGACACAGCCTGGCCGAGGATAAGTCCCACTCATCTTGATTTGCCACTGGGATTGAGCTGAGGCAGGACTCTGCGCTGGGACCATCCTTCCCGTGCACTGCCAGAGGCACCTCCATAACGTGGAGCAGCATCCTGGACATGGGATGGACGGGGAGATGACCATGAAGACCAGCAGACTGGGTCCTCTCTGGGGGTCCTGCAGCCCATCACCTGCCTATACCAGGTCCTCACAGGGCAGAGGGGCGACTCACCAGCCACCTGCATTGCTCGCCATCCCTGCCCACTTGCATTATTTAGCCCCTTCACAGGGCTGGTCTTCCTCCAAGCACTTTATGTATGCCTTAGCTACTGTTGGGCTGCCCTGGCGGGAGGTCCTCTGCCAGGGACATGCTCCCAACACCTTTCTGTGCCCTGAGCTTGCCCCATTTCATCCTGCTGCTGGGTCCAACCCGGGTTTGTGTCACCTGGAGCAGTGCTAACCGTCTCACCCTGCATCCTCCTCTCGGACAGGTACTGGAGGATCTTAATAAATCTTTTTAACAGAAGTGGAGCTGATGGCTATTGGTGCTGAGAGTGACCTGGAGGTGACATTTATTTCCCTTGAAACAGCAGGGATGTGGTTTTGAACTGGGGGAAGTGAAAGTGGGGCTGGGGCTGAGGCTGGTGGGGGCAGCAGCAATGGAGAATGCTGCGGCCAGAAGAGCTGAATGGGAGCTGCCCCGCACCTGGTTCCTGTGTAGGGGGCACA